CTGTAAAAATGAAATTGGGTGTGTTACATACAAGATCACGATACATAGTCCCCCACACACTCATACACATACACGTAAGAGTAGCCATTCATCGTTGTTGAAAATTGATTTAGAACAAAGACCTATAATCTGATCACCTGTACCTCGGTCACTGTCAAACGTTAATGTTTATTAATAAGTATACTGGTTCTAACCTGTTCCATTTAAAAAAATTGTAGAACAGGTTCAAATTGGTTCAAGAGCCATAAATATTATCTTTACCGTGACATAGACTTCCATTGTAACAAGTGCTGCCTTTTATCGCCAAAGTGTTCTTATTTTTAATGGTATCTATGCCCTTGGTAGAGCATATAGAATTTAAAACCTTCCGGTGTTAAATTCATCACGCTCTACATTTTATTAAAATTATAACGACTTTTTTTTCTCGAAATGATAGAGTTCAACATGTTGTCTAGCTATTTGTAAAGAGATAAGCCAAGAGCCTCCTTTACTTCCATATTTTTTATGTTTTGTCACGAGCTGAATAACAGAGAGATTATAATTCATGGAGTGCACACATGTACAAGAGTACATACAGTTCAGTATTTCAAGCGATGCCAACAAACAGGCGCCACATTATCAAAAGGGGAATCCAAGACAAAATAACTCATAGAATGGCACGCAGAATCATGTATGGGATTAACGTGTGAGGTCTGTACAAATGTGCTTTAATGACACAGTGTGGGTTATCATGACAAATATTTGCATTGAATCTTATCCAATCATTCAATACGACTCTATTGATTTACAAGGACTCAAAACGTGTTTTGCACTCTTTTCAAACAATGTTCATATGTTTCCTTTCATGAGAATCGTGCCCCTCCACGTTTCCAAATAACCCACACTGATCCCTTTGATTTTGAAATTTAGTTTCGTTACAGAATCAGAGATTAAGGAACCCAATCATTTTAAGAGTACTATGTCCCTTTTGCAGCCAACATTATATTCTGTAGAACTTTGCAGGAATTATGAATATGTCATGTATGTCCTTTCTGTGAAATTTAAATATTAGCAGTTTCCTATTATACAAATTATGCAAGGAACCCGTTTATCTTCTCGACTTCACTGTCAGACACTATTAAGTGACTGACTAACATCTCTTTTCTTTGGTAATAGTATACATAAAATAAGCTGTAAAGGGTACATGAACATTTTTCTACAACAATAACCCAGTACTTGCAATGGCCCAAATTAAACTGATTGAATATTTGTTCAGCACTAAACGTACGACCATTCGATAAAAGGGTCTGAAAATCAGATTATTACTTAGGTGATTGCGATCACTTAAGTCGATTCGACAACTAATGGTCATTATTTTCACACTAAAAGCCGTTTTCATGCCCTGTCGTTTTGAGAGAAATTCTAGATTGGTATTGCAAATCCCCCGCATCAATTCGAAGAAGGGTCAACAAAATATAATTTTTTTCTGGTCCCACTATTTGGAATAGTCTCCCATTAAGCATTCGTTCCTGCACCTCAGTCGCATCATTTAAGAGAAATCTAAAAACTCATTTGTTTTCTTTGTAATTGTTATTTTAAGAGTGTAATGCACTTGGAGAGCATATAATTATTCTGTTTTTTTTTTTAAATGTAAAGCGCTTTGAGCATGTTTGTGTAAAAGCGCTATATAAATATTTATATGTATGCGTGTATGTATGTATGCCGTTGGAATTTAACCTTTTCATTTTTGGGGGCCTGCAACTAGGGCATAGTACCTTTAATGTGGTTAGAAGTATCCATGAATATTCAAACTTGTCCGTCATATTTTGTGTCTTGTATGCATCAAAGCTTTTAATCGAGACAATGCCGCGATAACCTCAATGTCATCTCATATGAAATTAAGGTAACCGAAATGAATTTTGATGCTCAATGCTTGCCAGAAGCCGGGGAGCAGATATCTAATTATATGGATAGAAAATACATATTTGGTCAAGGAAGAAATATCTTTCTTCCACTGCAATCTATGTTATCGGGTCTCCCAAACGTAGGCCTATTATCAAACGAGTACGACTGGGAGCAAAGGATTCAAGATGCATAGGTATACCAATTACACATTTAACCGGAACAGCAACGATTTTCGACTTAAGTGTTGAAACGTCTAAACGTCAGAGTTTGCAACGGATGGAGAGAGTTCTCGAATGCTCTTATCATCTATGCGTGTATGCGGGCGTGTTGTGTTGGTGGTGTCTGTGAGAGTTGGGGCGACATGCGTTTTTTTGTCGTGTGAAATCAGTTTATATTTAATGCGTCTCCTTTATTATATGTATTCATGTTTACGTATAAATATTTAACCACGTTTTGTCCAATAGATTGACCTTTTCAACGGGTAAAGCAACGTAGAATATTTTAATAATAATGAAATGAATACTGATTATAATAACAATAACATCAATAATGAAGATAAATTATTCCATTAGACAAGCAGAAACGGCGATCCAAGGGAGCGGGGGAGGGAGGGGGGGGGGCAGATAATCGTGCCGTTCCACATTTCTAAAGAACTAAAATTTACCCTTGTGATTGTGAAATGTATCTCTTCTTAATAATGGGGTTCTATCTGATTTGTACCCTAGCCTTTCCTCTACTAATGATTATCCCTTTCCTATTCTTACCAACACCCCTCTCCCTTTAATAAGTTCATTTTGTTACCCTCGTTTCCCCCTTTTTTAACATGTGCGTTTTCTAAAGCCCTCAAAAAAAATGAGAATCCATCAATTGTTGTTCTCTAAATATGACCAGTACTTTTTATCAACCTAGATGTTGGCAATATTTTGTAATCTTTAATATATAGCGCATAACGTGAATACTAAAATACACTTTACAATGTTATCATGGCATTTCTCGCTTCGCCATATTTGGTATCTGAATGACGATTTATCGAACAAATAGTTATATCATTTCATAACTGTTTTAAATTCATGAAGATGCCTGACAACAATCTTCATGAATAAATTATATTTATTCTCCATTTTCTACCTACTGCAAGAAGCTGCAGTTTTATTGTATATTATCAAGTAATATTGTCTTAAGGTAACATACCATAAGACTAACATGGTTACATTTTTAACGTTTCTTTATGGTCATAATATTGTTAAAATGAAACCATCAAATGGTCTATATATTTCGTGAAGACGTTTAAGTACCCACGTACTATCTTTGTTTGTTTTTCTCTGTTTATGCAATGGGGCTATATTTAGTAGAAAGCTTCACTCCACGTGTCTCATTCTATAACCATTTATATATGAAAGATTCAGCAAGTTTTGCAAAGTAAGATGTAAGTGAAATAGGGCGTAGATTTTGCAACGTGGGTACACTGTAAAAAAATAATAGTCGAAATAACTCAATAAAATTGAGGAAAAGAATTGCCTTATTTTTATTAAGTAAATATTACCTACGGCATCTTAAGTAGAATTTACTTATTTTGCTGAATAAATTTTTACTCAGTTAAATCGAGTTACATTAACGTAAATAATTTAAGTATTGTAATCATTTTAGATAATTAAAAAAAAGCTATGATAGGATTACATATTGCACGATTTGGTACCCATCTAATCTAACAAATAACATCCACTGATCATTCACTACTTCTATTTAAGATTAATCACTAATCACTAACACTACTTCTATTTAAGATTTAACCGTATATATATATCTACCACCATCACAAACTATTACATACGCTTCAATTCGACACATATTGAAAGGCTCCAAATTTTATATATACTTGCTCGTAGCATCTTAAAAGGAAAATTGGTTGACAATTTCCTGAAATATCAAGTTTTGATTTGTTTTGAACTGGGTAACAATTACAAATTGTCTTGTCTTTGCTTAGCCATGTTAAATGAATTAGTAAATGTTTTAAAGTCCTTAAATTTTCATTCAACCACAAACAAGAATTGTTTTATTTAAAAAAGAGTTTAATTTGGTCTTAATGAATATTCATAAATTATGTAAATATTTCTATTACGCACTGCATCGGTCATTACTTTAAAAAGATAAGAATAATCAACATAAATTGTTTGAGTAATACGTATAATTTCTGATTTTGAGTTAAAATTACTAAATTAATACAAGCTGAAATTACTTAAAGTTCTTATGTATTTGATTTTACTTAAATATTCCACGTATGTTCTACTAAATTGAAAGTTTGAGTTAGCAAGACTTAAATTTAGTGCGTAAGTGGCAAAACTAATGTTTTCAAGTAAATTCTACATGGAAAAAAATACGTAAAAATTACCAATGAACAAATTCTTTTTTACAGTGTAGTTGTGACTTAGAAATGGGGCCTATTTCAGCTTGTTTCCAGAGTAGGGGGACAATAGAGCTCTGAAACGAGACATTCAGAATGTCAGTCATTGGGATACACAATTCGTAAGCAAATTCTCGTATTATTTTTACAGGTAGGTCTCCAGAAATCCCAGCTTTACGTTGATTAAGAGACTGCAATTGCTTGTATACTTCAAAAGGCTGCATAGAGTACAATGACCATTGGACAAGTACAATGCGACGGTAAAAATGCAGGCAATTTACATCTATCCAAACAAGGAAGATCAGCTGCTACAAAGGAAAAATGATCATTTAGTTGTAAAGAGAAGACCCATGCAGCCTCTTTTACTTCTTGAATTCCAAATTGGCGCAAAACTGAATCATAAAGAGGGTACAATTCATTGAGTGTGCACATGCACAATGGTATGTAGTTTTATATCAGAATTTGGAGGCCATTTTGAAAAATGGCCGCCAAGGCCACCACAGGCCATATCAGAGATGGCATCATATCTAAAATTGCATGTTTTGGTATAAAGTACGTTTGTACAAAGTTTCATGCTTTTACCACAAATTGCACAATACTTCCACCTATCCGCTGGACTATGAGGTCCTAAAACGCAGTTCTGCGCACGCACACCCTGCCAGTCTGGGTCACTGCACGCACTAAGCACCGCCTCCTCGCACTGCTAAGTCGTCACGCATAAACATACACTAAAAATAAACGATCACATGTCTTTCACATTCATCTCCGCTACATTACTGCTAAAAGAGGTAACAGTTTCGGGAGAACCGCGGTATATGAACTTGATCGAGTTTCCACGAAATTCAGGTTGCGCGCAAAATCTTGCTCGTTAATTTATAGCACTCCGCGATCTTCTCTGCAATCAGACCCATAGCACGGTTTGAATCATAGCAGATACCACACAGTCGATACTCTTAAGCTGTGGTTGCACTAACAGGCCTTCAAGAATAAACAGCCCCAAAGGTTGGAGTATTATATGATCTATAAAACATGTCGGCATTGAAGAGAAGCCCCCGAAATGTCCGCAGTCCGCGCAGCACAGCGGCCATGGTCAAACACCTGCCGTCTGCGGTGGCCGCCTTACTGCAGCCGGGCAAGGGGCCGGCAAAGTTGACCAAATTCGACACCCCGGGCGGGGAAAAGTGGATGACCTTAACCGAATTTCTGTGGAACATCAGTCAGGTGCAGGCGCAGGAGGCACTCAACACCGACTTCATCCAGGGCATCAAGAGTGGTCTCCTGGATCCCACCAACTACGGTGAGTTCTTTTATTTGGGTGACTACTTGGTACAATTCGGCATGTTTTAAAGCTTCGAAGTCCTTGCTTTTTTCAAATTAGATTCTTAAATTGTTATTATAAGATAAGTTATGAGCTTTCATATAAGACATAAACACTGGCAAACCGAGCACCGACGATAAGTTACTAGTTTAATAAGTTTCAATTTTTTATTAGGAGCAGGATGCTCCTAGTTTTTAGTATTGATGTCTGTCAATCTTTTCGCCTAATACATCATCTGTTAAAGTACAATTCCACTCCAAAAATAATTTACTTTAAATAGAAGCAGAAAAATCAGACAAATAAATCAAAAAAAGTTTGAGTAAAATCTGATAACTAATACAAAAGTTATGAATTTTTGAAAAAGTATTTAAAACTCTGAAACAATGAAAATCACTACACAAATTGCCAATTTGGTTTTCAGTTTGTGACGTCATGTCCTCACTATTTATCAATTGTTTTATATAGTTTAATCCCATTAATTTATCTTTTTATCCCCCAAAACTTGATTTCCCCATGCCTTTGCCCAGGTTACATGATTTGTATCATATTGCGTGCATGACATTGCATAAAATCTCTGAACTTTGAAGAATTGATACTATTTTCGGAATATTGTATATTCATAAATATTGACTTTTATCTGAATAGTTTATCAAAAGTCAAATTTGTAATGATAAAACTGAAAAAAAAAACTCTATATTAGTGCATCCACACAAAAACATATTCCTATCAATCTAACTTGGATGCTAGTGTGAAGAAATAAGATTCTTAGGGGGAAATAGGAAATTCGTAATATGAATATAAAGAAAACAATTAGTGGATAGTGAGGACATGACGTCACAGACTTATGAGTGAATGTTCAATTTTTCTTGTGATTTTCATCGTTCCATAGTTTTACAGACTTTTTCAAAAATTCATAACTTTCTTATTAGATATCCGATTTTGCTCAAACTTTTTGATTAGTTTCTCTGATTTTTCTGCTTCTATAGAAAGTAACTTATTTTTTTGAGTGGACTTGGCCTTTAAAGATACTATGTCCCTTTTGCAGCCAACATCAAATTCTCTAGAACTTTGCAGGAATTATGAATATGTCATGTATGTCCTATCTGTGAAATGTAAACGTTAGCAATGTCCTAATATTCAAAATATGCAAGGAAATCCGTTTACTTGCTAGACTTCACTGTCAGACACTTTTGAGTGACTGACTGGCATTTTTTCTTCTTTGGTAATAATAAACATAAAATTTGGTACAATGGTCTGAAAATCATAAAATTACTTACTGGCTCTATAGCTCCTAAGTCGATTCGACAACTAATAGTCGTTATTTTCCATCTTGAAGACATTTTCAAGCTCCCTTTTTTTTTAGAGAAGTTCTAAATTAGTATTATCTTTCAAATGCCGTTGGAATTTAACCTTTTCATTTGTTTGGCCTGCAAAGGGGACATAGTACCTTTAAGAAGGCCATTCGACCAAATAAAGTGCAGTGTATTTCTTTCGGTCAAAAATATTTTTTTACGTTATTCGCCGTTTGTAGAGGTGAGAACCCATTAACTCAAAATTCTATTCATAGTTGGCGCTTTGCATAAAATACAACCACAGAACTGTTGAGAATAAGAAGAAATAAACCTTGTATGGAGTGATTTAATATGGAAACCAATTTAAGCTTGTCATCTTCATAGAGTCAATTTTTCAAAGAATAAAAAACACCATGTTTATGTAAACAAGTTTAATTGGATATACATTGGTCGTTAACTTTAAAAGTACGACATAGTAGTGGCAGAGAACAAAACATTTACGGGCTGTGTTCATACCCTGTGGCCTGTGCCATGGAATAACAGTCTCGTCAACGTTGGAGCCCAAGCCAATATCCGGGTCACGAGAAAATAGCGTCAAACCATTATGTGCATTTGCACACTTTATCATGTGCTTATTTCGATCGTTGGAATCGAAATAAGCCACTGTGTTCAAGTTGTGGAGGTCTTAAAATACAATTTTCGCGAAGATGACTGCATTTCAGACGAAAATATTTCCAAGGAGGATTGGAACTGTCATCTTTAAAAATAGCGAGCTTTCAGATTAAAACCAATTGCTCACTCTTCTCACCATAAACAAAGCTATATCCTACATTTAATCCACCAGGTGGCTACACAGTTCAGGACGCCGTGTACTGCGATAATGCCACTGGCTGCTATGAGAAAGCTGAGAGTAAAGCCACCGATGAAGACCTAAAGAAATTCATTGCCGCACGCATAGAAAGTTACGCTGAGTAAGTGTTTGGTTAAAATAATATGGGTGTGGTGGGTGGTGGTGTGATTGATCGTTTGATTGATCGATTAATTGATCGCCTGATTTATTGATTGGTCGATCAATCAATCGATCGATCTAGTGAGTGAGTGAGTAAAATACAGCTTATCCAATTCGGCAGTGGATATATAGTCAGTATTGCCAGTATAGTCTGAAACGATGATCTGCCTGCAGTCTTCTCTGATTCATGAAAGGTTCTCACTTCTCACACCCCCGCGGAGGCGATCGATGATCATGGGTAAATTCAGAGGATAAGCATACACTTTTTGCACCCCCCTCCCGGGAAAAAGACAGTCATCTTATCTACTGCCGAAACTGTGTCGTTAGGGACTTTTAGATTCGCACGAAGACAACTGGGATTGCTACGATCGACGTCCTTTTAATGCACTGCCTTGAATAGACATAACGCGTATCAGTCCACGCAACTTTTTTTTGGCCTGCAAATGGGACATTGTACCTTAGACACTGAAAACCTCGTTTTCAAAACTGGAAGTGTGCAGATTGGCGCTGTTTTCTTAAATTTGAAGCTCGTCTATATATTGTTTTTTCAACCAACCTGTATGCTCATGATTGTATTTGAAGGTACACGGAGATAATGTTCAAAGAGTGGTACATCAAGCACCCAAAAGGGATTGCCATGGGAGACGCCGCTGCCTCCTACTCTGAATTCGAGCTGGACGTGGCTACAACGGAGGAGCCGTTTTACCTGCTGATCGCCATGTTGCCGTGCGAGAAGCTGTGGGGGTGGCTTGCTCAGGAGATCAAATCAGGCATAGTAAGAACAGGCCTGAGTAAGAATATAGACCAGATCCATTAAGCCCAGCCCCTTTTCTTAATGACCAATCCCAGCCGCATTTTAAACGCACTCACACTCATGGAACGGTCGTGATTGGTCAGTTCGTCAAGGGGCGGGGCTTTATGGATTATCGTATTCAGCTTGTTAAGAATCCAACAATGTATTGTTGGTCGCCAAATCATTTTGCACACGGCCCCTTGCTGTATTGCTCCAAAACTACGTCATATTTCATATCCCATTGTTTACATGCTTACTAGTTTCGTTTCGTTCTGTTCAAACTCTGGGCACACAGGGTAACCCTCACGAAGACATGTTTTGTTTGTTTATCCTGATGAAAATAAAACAATAATTAATTGATTGAGTATTTATTTTTGAAGCCGGATGGAATTTTTGAAGTTAAAATTGTTGTGATGTACACAAGTTTTTTTGGATCGATCAAACTAAAACCGCCATCAAATAAAAAGGGCAAAACTGAAAACTAAACGAAATTCTGTATAATTATTTGTCCAAAGTACGGGTTTTCACGTTACGTATTTTTTCTTGTGCAATTATAGAATGACACCAACGTGTACAGTTTCTGGATACAAGATAACCTGCCGGGAAGCCATACACTCGCGAATTACATCGACGAGAATGCCGAGAAGTTTAAAGTGGATCTAAAGAAGGCCATGAAGATCTACAAAGATGGTATGCAGTGCGAGGTGGATTTTTTCACTTCGGGAACAATCGAGGAGGTAAACTGAATGGTCTGAACGTCCAACGTTCCAACTGTGAGGTTGCAACACTCTTAATTAATAAATTAATGCAAAATTACACATGATCGAAACCTACTTGGTGAACGTTAGGCTCCGTCATTTTTTTGCAATTCTATTAAGCGCAATTGATACTGGAATACTCTTTTTTATAATGTTTTTTTAGCTCGTGGCAATTGTAGCAGGTTTATGGCAATTTTTGGAAAATCGCGTTTTATTCGTAGAATTTAGTTTTAAGTGGAATGTTATCTGTAACATACGATCATTAAGTATGTGCGTATTAAACCTATGTACAAAATAAAACATGGAGGCGTATTGGTGCGAATCAAATATTATTATGTTGATTGTACACGGTAAATGGTCTTGGTCAAAATACTAAAAAAAATAGAAAGAAAAAATAGCAACATGTCACCACCAGCTGACAATTTGGAGTTTGTGATTTGTTTTTCCAAAAATAGGGATGATCAGATAACTGGGTTCGAATTTTGGAAATCATTGCCTCCAGGCCGTTTAATCAAACGGCTGTTGGCTCAAACGGCACAATCAAACCTCCCACTACAACCCCCATTCCGGTGTTGCACATGTGTTTATTTAAACCGTTCGCTTGGCGACTGCAACCGCACTTTTGACTGGCCGTTCCCGAATCCATAAGAGCTTGACGAACTGACCAATCACGGCCTCGACAGTGGTTTGAAAGAGATCGGTCCATGCGAGTGAAACGATTCGACCTGCTTGGAATGCCACTCCCACATATTCTCGCACACAAAATGTGAACCTCTGTAGCTGCATTTTGAGGAATGTTTCCCAATTTCGGCTTTCAAAATTTAAATGCCACAGTAACGAAAAAATAAGGAGCTCTTCAGTGTTACCAAACTGATCCTTTAATGTGAAGAAAAAAATACACTGTAGTGCCAACAACTGCGTAGAGAAAATGATTGTAGAAAAACGGGTTTAGAAACAAAATCATCCGTTTCTAGTGCTACCCACGTCCCCAAGAAAAAAAGGTTATGTTGAACATGCAAAATATTTCAAACCAAATAGCCCCTAAAGATTCTATGAGACTGAACGTTTTAGAAATGCCAACAATTTAAATTGATGCCGACTAGAAGATTTAATTTGTTTTATTCTTTGTTTCTACTAATTTTTGGGGGAATATATGACTTCGAGCAATAATTAATTTGAATAAAACCATCCACTCTTACCCTACAAGGCAAACTGAAAAATTCAATTTAAGAAATCAAAAAACCGCATTGGCTCTCAAATCCATTAGACACACAGGCCCAGACATCTGGAACTCTCTGCTTATTGTAATAAGAAACCTTAGGACATTGTATTCTTTCAAGAAGGCAGTTAACATTTTACTGTATTCATGTTCGTGTGTACATTGACTGTTTATTCAACAATGATGTGTAATCGTCCATGACCTAGCATCGTTTATCCATTCATGAATGAACCTGCATTCAATCAGCAGATGTATGAGATATATTGTATTATTACCAACGCCCCTTTTCGCCCCTTTCCTTTTCTTCTCTGCAAGTCACATTTTTTTTTAAATTGTTGTATCTAAGTTTAGGCCTGCGGGCACGTCAAGCTACTTTGCTTATTTCTGTAGCCCTCCTGCATCTAATGTATGTTAATTATGCATTTAATATATTTGTTTAATTTCGTTTATTATTTGTATACAATTACATACACTTAAAATATTGTATCAAACCATATTATGTTTATGAAAATGTATGATGAAAAAAGAAAAAAGATGCAGAATCCAATAAATCGAAATCGAAATCTAATCAAAATCAAATTACTCAAAAATTGGTCTTGGGGGAAACTTTTCTCATGGCACTCCATAGGGCCACAAATTTGTGTAGCACAGAATAGTTTCGATTTGGAAAAACGTGTTAAGTATTAGGGACATCTAAAAGCCTTAGCTATTTAAGCTCTGGCTTCCCCGAACGGCCTCCATTACTCATTTACTTAGCCAATCTTGTTTTGTCAATAGTAAGTAATTGTAACGGGTCGATAATTGGATCAAAAAATAGAAATATGTACTTCAAGTGCAAAAAGGGGCACCAAATATGTGAAGTTTTCATTGAATGAATTTTAATTGAATTGTATTTCTTTATTGTCATGCACAAATAAAATGAAGGGATAAAAATCGTCTTACGACTCACATTTGTATGAAATATGACAATACATTAACATAATCATGAACAAATAACTACAAATAACATAAATAACATAACAATGTAATATTAGTTAATGTCTCTGTTGAGAGCCGGAGGAATTATTTGTATTATTTGTACTCCCCTGGCTCCCAAGAGACAATACTAACTAAAATATATGTAGAAAATGTTCATGACAACAATCAAATAACATATAAATCGAACAAATCACAGCCAAGATCTAAAATCAAAGCAGACATAAACTAACCATACATTATATACTGGATTTCAAATAGGAGGGACAAGAGAGAAAGAAAAGAAGAGAGAAAGAGAAATGGAGAAAGGAAGAAAGAGAGATAGAGAGAGGAAGGAAGAGAAGAACAGTTCAGTGTGAGATGATACATATACAAATTCCTTCAAAACATCGCTTTGTAATAGACAGTATTATTATCGCACCTGTGCTTAGAACTGCTACATAACATATGACAAAATAGTATGCATGCCAAGAAGACAACTGTATGCTAGTACATGTACATATAGATGGTAGATACACTGTACAATTGAAAGAAGAAAATAGATGTCAGATAGAAGAGGCGAGAAGAGAGACAAGAAAGGAAGAAGAAAGAAAGAAGAAAGACAGAAGAAAGACAGAAAAGCTGAGAAAAGGAAAGAAAGGAATGGGAGGAACAGTGCAGTGTGAGATATTTAATATATTGTCGAACTGATGGGTCTCACATGTCACTAAAAAAAAAATCCCCTGTAGGACCATGCATTATGGTTCAAGGAATGCCAACATAGAGGACTTTTTTTAAATGTTGGGGATGGAGGCAAAATAAGGTCCCCAACAGGAAAAATTCCTCTGTAGGACCATGCATTATGGTTCAAGGCATGCCCCCAAAGAGGATTTTTTTTTTAAAGTTGGGGATCGGGGCAAAATGCAATGAATTATTGATAATTTATTGCATTTTCTTTGATTTTGGGGTATTTGTGGGGGTGGCCCCATACCCTAGCCCCCGCCGCGTACAGTCATGATTCAGTGGCTAAGCAATGGCATCGTTGCATCAAATAAAAGAGGAGGATCTAAGCTTTACAAATATGTGTCATTTATTAATTATAATTGTGATTAAGTTATGATAAAACGTCAATAATTCTCGGTTTCGTTTTTTCTGGGACCCACGGTATATATAGAGAGTATATTCAGGCACCTGGCTGCTCATATATATATACGAAGATATTTAGACATCTCGCTGCCAGAATATGAGATGTTTAATAGTTGCCTGATAATCAGGGGCGGCCGAGCGACTCCCAAAGTGGAGGGGGGGGGGGCACCAACAGAAAAGGACACTTTCTGGAGAGAAAAAAGGCAACTATAAAGGGAAATCTCAAAGCGAAAATATACAATTTGGGGGACATTGGTTGGTATATATCCTTACTATGTAATTCCACTATCAGGGATGAATTCAATATTTGTTTCTCTTTATACGTCATACAAGATATTGCTTAAGCACCATTCTTAGCAGTTGCGTTTGATGGTCTGAATATCCAATGTGAGCGATCGAAGCAAGCGAGAAAAACATTTAAGATTTATGAGGTCACAGTGCGAAATATTACATCATATAAAGAGGAATAAACCCATCCTGTTGGGGTTAGATAAGCACATTATCATAACAGAAGGCTGAAAAGACCTTTGATAAGTTACATAGATGCGAGCGAGCGAGCTTCGGGGGAGATTGCTTTCAGTCACTTTAATTTAGGGAACGTTTAAGTGATGAGAGGAAAAGGGGACGCTTATCGAAAGAAATAAAACACCTATTACCAAAGTAAAGGAGCATGAGTCAAATTACAAAGGGCATTACCGGAAGTGAAAAAGAGGCACTTCTTACACCTGAAAAGAAGCACTCACCAGGGATGAAAAAGGGCACTTGTGAGAATGGGAAATGGGCACTTGTCGACGGAAAAGGGACACCCATCTGTTATTGATACGGGAATTTATAAGAGGTGACTAGGAGCATTTATGAAAAAGGGATAGATCGCTTATTAGAAGAAAAGGATAACCGAATTGAATTCTGCTGCTCCATGGCTGCAGGAAGCCTGGGGACAGACATAAAATTACACTGATTGAAAACACATATTTATTATAGCAATGAATATCTGTAATCTATTTTATCGGGTCTCACAAACGTAGTATCAAACGAGAACGACTGAGAGGAAGGATTTATGATGGATAGGTATATAATAATTACACATTTTACCGGAACGGAAAACAACATTGGACTAAAGTTTCTCCTATATTATATGTACTCATATTTAAGTATAAATATCTTTCCAAATTTTGTCCAAAAGATTGACTTTTTCAATATGTAAAGCAATGTCGTTCATTATAATAATGATAACGTTAAAAATAATAATAATAACAATTACATTTATGACAAAAGTTATTCCGAGAAAGTAGCGGAAGCAGCGCTCCGACAGGCGGGGGGGGGGGGGGCAGAAAACCATGCCCCTCCACGTTTTCCAAATATCCAAATTTGACCCCTTTGATTGTGAAAATGTATTTCTTGTAATGGGGTTCACGGGCACCCCTTTCAAATGTCTGATTCGTGCCCTAGCTCTCCCCTACTAATGAATATTCCTTTTTTCATTCTGAACAACACCCCTCTCCCTTGAATAAGTGCACTTTTTTTAACCCACATTTCCCGTTTTTGTTTAAAACATGTGCGTTTTCTAAAGCCCACACCCCCCTAACAAAAATCTATCCTTCGGAGCATGTGTGTAGATAGTTATCATTTTAGAAGGCATCGATCACCTGGCCCGAAGCGCCTTTCTGGTCTGGGGTGCTGATGAGTATTTCCTATTAACTCAAACAATTCATAGCAAGCAAGAAGATGTAATTGACATATAAATTAAAGGTAATACCAAGTTTTGAATTTGGTTCATATGAACAAATTGGAAGCGTATGCGATCCTACAATATTCAGTGATCGTTATCGCGGTTGAAATCGAGTCTAAAGTTATGAAATTATGAATAATAAACTCTTTACATTGTATAGCTCCCTCTCAAGGTCAAGATATCAATAAAGCTATGAAACAATGTTTATTGACTAAAATCGACCGATTAGCTACTCCCGTTTGGAAATTATATACCACAATTACATATTCTGAGATTTTCATGGTCGTAGCTACCATTGTACGGCCGTAGGCGCTGTTGGAAATGTATCCAAATTTACCGGGAGCACCGGTAAATTTTTATATTCAATTTTTCTCGAAAGCAGAAGTGTTTTAGAGGCTAAATTTTCTAGTGCTTATAATACATCTACAGGGGCATCCAAATATATCAAAATTGTAAAAATTCACTATCCACCCAATTTTCAAAATTTCCCAAAACTTTGTATTACCTTTAACATGATGAAATGGAGATGCTGTATCCGAACACGGAAAATTGTGAAAATTATGTTAAAGGTCGATACGAAAGAAAAGCTAACCTTATTTGCAATATTAGTGTTATGTTTTATGAAACTGTTTATGTCAGCTCTGAGTCAAGGAGAAATGGTACTTTTTTGTTTGGATATTGTTATTTTTTTTTAATTTTGTTGAGGTTTCTATTTATATATTCTACATTCTCCTTTTGCCCTGATTGCGTTTTGTTTTGATTGTGATAAAAGCGATACCACTAAATTCTATTGAATGTAGGTCGACCTTGTGTTCATAGTCTAATTACAATTTCCCTCGTTTTCTTGAGTAGTTTAATGATATGTTTCTATGAAGTAGTAGTTTATTGATGTACGTTCTGTTTTTTCTTTTGTTTGTTTGATTTGATAATTATGTTATCCTATCATGCCAGGGTTGATTTCAGTCAATTATTTGAATTTGAATTTGACTTTGCTTCGAGCATTTATGCACCAGATAGTTTGATTCACCAGAAATTGCTCCAAAGTCGATTTTTATCAAAAATGGCTGACTTCGATGATAAGTTTTGTTTTGTGCTTTGTTTGTATTTTGTTTTCGCTTTCCTCATTAATATGATTGTAAAGGCAATCGCTGTGTTTTATTCCAAGCCACTGGCTTTTTAATGCGAATTCCCATGCACAAATTTATAATATATTATATCCTTGCATTTTATGAAATTGATAAATTGAATTGAATTGAAAAGGTAATGGACCAAAACATCTATACATATTATGCTGGTTCTCTAGTAACAAATAGCAAAATATTTCACGCAAGCATTTTTTCATATAACTTTTAGTC